ATCATTTATTGGAAATTTTAGTAGGAATGTGAATATTTTCTTTAGGGAAACATTTTTCAGACAAAAACATCAGGTAGCTTACCCAGCAGGCCTTGGGTTAACCCTGACAGCCCCCTTCCGTCTGTGATGTAAAAGCCCAGGTGAGCCATCTGCAGGTAGTTGGGGTGTTTGTAGTGATGGAACAGAACCAGGAACCTCACACCTTTAACCAGCTCGATCCAGCAGCTCTGATGGTTATCCATGGTCACCGTCACACCCTGCCTCGTCACTGATCCCTGCTGATTAACAGGCAGGATCTCCCTTCCTTCGCCATCCACAACCACACCATCCAGTGACAAGGTGATCATGATGTCAGCAGAACGACCTGCCGGCAATGAGATGCTGAGCCGGTCAAAGTACGTTCTGGAACGGCCTTCTGCTCCGGGCTTTGGGGGAGCCCCCATCAGGTGACCATCCACAATGATACCTTAAAGAGTGACATACCTCAGATTAGAGGAAAATCTCCTGAAATGTGTCTTATTCTAAGAATAAATGGGGATTTTCATATTATTTTGTTTTCTAAACCTCGCTCTGGATCCTCCAAAAGTCTGAGGACATCATTGGCTCTGCCGTCCACGGTGAAACACAGGTTCTGGTTCAACTTTGGAAGCTGGACCACAAAATGAGGATCTCCATCAACTATAGCAAACAAAGCAGAAGTTCAACAGAGACAGGGAAGTCTGATGGCTTTTGATTTAAAAACAACAAGAAAAAAGTCCTGACCTGATGAGAAGAGCTTCACAGAGTTCAGCCTGGATTGAGGTTCTAAAAGGACAAGACATTCAACTAAAGGACAGTCTTCCTAAAGCCCTGAAGCCAACATTAGGACTAGACATGTACTGCAGATCACACCGCTAGAAATTACAGGATTCCCACATTTTAAAAGAAAGCACTCACCAAATGAATCGCTGCTGCCGTCCCCTGAGAAAAAAGGAAGGACGCTTTAAACTGTGACGTTTTTTTTTACTGCAGATATTTATTCCCCCCGAATTAAAAGCACACTTACAAGTATCGTAGCTGATGTCATAGTCATAATTATATGTTGCATCATAATCTAACAAAAGGAAGAAGGGATTAGAAGTCAAACTGATATGTTCTGTTACTCATTTGATGATGCTTCGCTTTAATGAAGGCTTGTCTGTTCAACATACCTTTTAAAAGGTTTAGATCTAAACAGAAGAAAATATCAAATTTTACAAAGGAGTTTCGGAAACTAGATCAGTACCAGACATAAGTTATTGTAGATTAGAGTCTCATTTCTGTTCTGTTACCAGTTTTACTAGGTAAAAATCTCTAAACTTATAAAGGATTTGAAGGGAATTCAGATTTACCTTCTTCGCTCTGAATGGAAGTAGAGACATCTAAGAGAGAGAGAGAAACCATCATTCATTAAAATCAGCCAGCTATTTGGAGCAAATTCTTAAAAAAAATTGTTAAAAGAAAGTAAAAATTAGGGATGCTTCTTTCTGGTTTGGCGATTGAAAGCATAATATGATGTTATGCTTGGCCGTAATAAACAGGAAATAGAGGTAGCTAGCTAGCATAGCCCACAGATCAGTAATGGACGAAGGTTTGAAGCCGGGCATACACTGTACGATTTTTTTTGCCCTTTTCGGGTCAATTCTCCAGTCGTACGAGAATTTTTTCGATCTGGCCGACTTTCAGCCTGATTGTGCGTCCTGCATTGTGTCGTTTACAGGACGTAACGAGGGGCGATTAGCCTCTCGCGACCACCCCTCCCTGATCAGAAATCGTAAGGTCGAGAGAAAATTAAACATGATTAAAGTTCATTCGGCCACCTTCAGGTGTTCGTGAGCAAATCCTGCCGTTGAAGCAGAGCCGATTTACTACAATATCAAGCACTGCGTATGTGCTTGATATTGTAGGGAGTTGGGAGTTCTTCTACCCCAACCCTTCCAGATTGACGAGTCAGACCAGCGCCATCTGTTGGCGCTGAGTCCGACTTTTGGTTTTTGGACATGCAGTGTGAGCAGGTAGATGGCATCAGAGCGTAGGGTCGCACATTGTGAGAACATTAACTGAGAACTTGAGCTGTGAACTTTTAAACCCTGCGGTTTCGTCATATAATGAGTTTTAGCTGCGTGCAACGATTGAAAAATATCACAGTGTATGCGTGGCTTTAATGAATGTCTTGCAAAAGGGCAAGTTATACTAACTTGATGATGTCAGCTATTACAGTACAGCAATGGTACATGCTCTCTGGAGATGTTAAATTCGGCTTATTTATTTTGCGCCAATTCACAACACATCATTTCAAGGCATTACAGGGACAATTCAGCCTGATCATACAGTCAGATTAGTTCAAAGTTGTCTATCCCAGGAAAATTAGCTGATTGCATCAATTCATTGACTTGACAGCAAACAACTGCCTTGTTAAGAGACAGAAGGATGACTTTAAGGCTTGCATTCAGGAAACCGGCAACAGAAACAGCTGATCATCCATATGAAATGAATGCTCGCTAAACAGGTTTCCATATAACCTGACTCCGCATATCCATCTGGAAACCTTCCGTTGAAGTAATTTTGGAAAGGGG